TTTTTGAAGAATTTAATTTTATTAAGAAATATATTAAATTAAATTAAATTAAATTGTAAATTATATATTATATCAATAGCTGTGATATATACATATATATTTGCAGTAAATAAATTTTACTTAAAATTAGTTTAATTATAACAATAATCTTAATATGTCATCTTGATAAAATAACTTTCACACTAAGGTGTGAAAGAAATAACATTTTAATACCCATATTATATTTGTGTCTAATTAAAATATTTAGTTTTAATTTTTACTTTAAGAAAACGTTATACTGACACTTGACATATTGTAATGATAACTATAACGTTAACCATATATAATATCGAAAAATTAAATGCCGAGGAAAATACCGCGATTGTCATCTATCGGACTATTACGTTATCCCACGCACGAATGAGAGTCGAATTATTCGAACTCATTTATCATCGTTATCGGTTGAAAATCGTATCTGCGATAGACGCTCATACATTAACGGCCTTTTGTTAATTAACGCATCTGGCCGTCGAGGGAACAATGCGCATCAAACTGCAGTGGCTATTGAATTTCGGCGAATCGGGTAATCCGTTCTGCTCCGAATCCGTCCGTCCGTCCGTCCGATACATGCCAGCCTAGGTAATCATGCGTTCACGTTTTATTAATCGGCATACCATTTTGTTAATTAGTGGCATTATGCAACGGCAAAGTGTCGAGCGGAATGCCGAGTGACGCAGCTGGTCCGCCGAAAAGCATGTTGAACATTACATCCGTGGGATGTGTAATAGGTTCGTTCCAATACCACCTGTTATAACTCTTGAAATTATGAAATCCTGAACTATATCCAATCCAATGTTTGAAACTTGCCACGTGTTCAACCGTACCTTCCGAGTACGACACAGCCATAATTTCAGCTTGTTGATGATGTAGCAACGAATTGTAATTAAAGCCGCACGCATTATACATGATCATGACTGTATATTCGGGCTGTAATATCGATAGAAAATTTCATGAGAGAATTTGTTATTAATTTGTGATGTTAAGTTATAATTTTAATAAGAGATTTATAAATAATTTTATAATTATTTAAACAAAAACTTATTGTCATAACCACTGTGTCCTTAATATTTATTCTCCAAAATCACTCTTCAATTTCATTTCTATAATAATTCTTTAGACATTAGTGTCATATGTATATATATATAGTTAGATACTTAGAACAAAAAATAATTTTCAAGAATGATATTTCATAAAGATGTTTTAAAAGATTTATTTATTTTTAGACTATTTTTGGATGATTGCTACAGAACAAATATTTTTTGTTAGTGTATCTGTAATGTTAAACAATTATATATCTATTTTCTATGTAAACGTGTATATGCCAATAGTAAAAAATAATTAATAAAATAAAATATAAGATGTATTTCATCTCATATATATTCAATAATTATATAGGCAAATTTGTAAGTTGAGATAAAAATACTTTTATCATTATTTTTAAAATTACTTTTAGCATAAACTTTTTAATTTCAAGAAATCTTAACATTTCCTGTTGCGGCAGTTTCTGAAAATGGAACACATGTTCTATGCTGTAAAAGAAAGGTGGGCGTCAAAGGAAACAGCCAGTGACCTCGAGAAGTGTCCATCATATTTAGGACACCCGATAGACGATAAGTATGCTCCAGGATGCAAGCTGATAGAAACTGTGCGCGTGCGATTCATCTTTATTGAGTCATATTATTCATTCATATTTTCCTTATAATTTATTTATTCAGAAAATTATCCATGGAATATATAAATTTTATTGTTGTATCATATAATGTAGATGCAGAATGCAGAAAAGGAAGAGGAATTATAACTGAAGTATAACTGATTCAAATATAATATATAAAAATATTTTAAATTCAAAGAATTGTATACAGATTTTTTTTTTACTATTAATATTATATTCACGTATGTATACCAAATTCAATAACGTTATATTGAATAAAAACGGTGCTTTCTTTTATGAATATTAAATTAAACTATTTTCAATTTTCAAATATTTTTTCAATTGTTTTGTATAGCTTATAGCATCTTCACTCGGAAATGGGTTCTTATTC